GGAAGTCCCAGACTTAGCGCTTCTCAACATTATTTTTCGTGTATCTGTCTCCCACATTGCACTAATTCCTTATGGATTTTGTCTTTTTCGTTTATACCTCCTTAGTATCCAGCACCGTGTTTTTCATACAGTAAGCACTCAATAAAACATCGGTCCAAAAAGTGAGGGAGGGCTTCCCTGGATTTCACATTTAGTTTTATAAACTCCAGAATATTTAAGTAAATATTTCCTTAAGTAAATTGTGGCTTCAAGTTTATATTAAAAAAGAAAAAAATACTATACAGTTCTGTGGTTATAACAAGAAATGACTGATGTTAAACCAGCATTGTTTAGTAAGACAGAAAGAGTGAGTCAAAATTTTAACTGACATTTTAAAAAGAAATCAAATATAACTGCAAAGTCAAATAAACACAACCCCCTACTCTTTAATTTTAAAAAAAAATCTAATGACACAGCAAATATTAGATTTAGATGTAGGAGATCTCAAAGATACACAAATGTCAAGTCACATTAACTTTACAGGTTTCCTGGCTCTGTCCTTTTAATTAGTCTTCATTCTTTACAGAGTTGCTTTCCTGCTCCTAAGCCACAATCCTTTCATGTGAATTTTAGTTAACATTTTCATGTGGATACAGTTATCAGTAAACTGCCTCTCCAAAACCTCTGGGTAGAAACAGCTGATGAAAATATTGGTACCAGTCAGTGAGAGGTACAGTGAGGGACTGGTATACTCTTCTTGAATCAAGAGCAGGACGTAACGGCTTCTCCAGCTAACGCAATTCTTCCAAAGTGCCAAGTTTTCATCTGATCCTATTTTAAAACTTCAGCAACAGGGCCATCATGACTTTGCCCTTCAAAGAGCTTCAATAAAGCTAGCTGCTACAACAACTGTGGGGGAAAAAAGCCTGGACTCACATCTAAGGAGACAGCAATCTAAATGTCAACTGTTCGTGGGCAGAGAATGGGAAGAGGGAGGAGAAGTTTTATCTCACAGCACTAACATTATATCAGTTTTTTTTCCCCCTAGTTCTACTGAAAGACAGCCTTCCAATTCCTTCAAATGTGTGAAATCCAACCTTTACTTTCTTGCTGGCTGCAATATTTGGGTACTAAATAAAGAGGAACAAATCAATGTTTGGCCATCACTCAAAAGAGTCCCACATATTAGGGTTAAGAATGGCAGCCATGGGGGTCCAGCACTCAGAGCAGAACAGTTCTTAGGGTGACACTCACAAGAGTCATGGGTTCTGAGGATGCCCACTCCCACAGCTGGGGATCAAGGCACTAACAGACAATACAGACTTGAAGTCATGTTCCACAGCACATGTTATACAGGATAGTGGGATGAAGAATCTGAATCCTGGACTATTTACGTGGCAGGCGGGGGCGGAGTAGCAGAAAGAACCTTATGCTCCCTAAACATTATACGTGCAACAATGCTATTTCCTTAGTAATTTTTTCTAAGGTTTAATTATAGTAAAATACACATGATATAAAATTTACCATTGTAACCATTTAGAAGTGTTAAGTTCCAGAGTGTAAAGTACATTCACACTGGTACACAACCAATCTCCACAACTCTTCTCATCTTGCAAAACTGAGACTCCATACCCATTAAAAAGATCCAGGTGGCTCTGCAGCGCAACGGATAGTGCACTGGACTTCTAGTGACGACAAAGCTCTCCATTCCTCCCTCTGCTCAGTCCCTTGCAACCACCCTGCCGTCTTCCGTCTCTGAATCTGAATACTCTAGATGCCTCATATAAGGACAGTAATACAGTATTTATCTTTTTGTGACTGGCTTATTTCACTTAGTATAATGTCCCCAGGGTTCATCTATGTTTCATTATGTGTTCGAATTTCCTTCCTTTTTAAGGCTGAATGACACTCCACTGTATGTATATAACACGTTTTTCTTTATGCATTCATCTGTGGATGGACACTTGGACTGCTTCCACCTTTTGGCTATTATGAATAATGCTGCGATGGACAAGGGTGTACAAATATCTCTTTGAGGTCCTGCTTTTAATTCTTTTGGATAAAAACCCGGAAGAGTGGATTGCTGAATCATAGGGTGATTCTAGTTTTAATCTTTTTGAGGAACCACCATACTATTTTCCAAAGTGGCTGTACCGTTTTACATTCCCAGAACATCCTTGCCAATACTTTTTACTGTCTGTTTTTTTTTTTAAATAGTAGTCATCCTAATGGATATGAGGTGGTTCCTTAGTGACTTATACATTTTCTAAATTTTCTATAATATCCCTGTATTATGTTAATAATTAGAGGAAAATTCAGTGCAATACATTCAACCATTAAATGTGATCATGCAAATACATACTTAGTGGTATAGAAAAACCTTTATCATATAGTCTAAATTTTTTTAATCTGAAGGTTACTGTAAGAGTTACATAAAACTATATATACTACTATCTATGTTTGGAGAAATACAAATACACATATTAATATAAATACTTTATACAGACTCAGTAATATGAAAAGGAATATAAAACAATAAACCAGAATGTTAACAGTAATTATCTCTGGATAATGGTAATCTAACTCTTCTTATTATTTCTGTATTTATTTTCTGATCTTTACCCAATGAATATGCATGTCTTCTACAATAATGAATAACAACAATAAAGGGGGTAATTTGGTAAATAAGTTGGGAGTCACCAGGTACCTACATTGCTGTTAGCAGCCATGTTGCTGTGGCCATGAACTATCACTTAAATGTCTGAGACTGCTCAAGCCAGGACGGGAACCTCTGAATCAGCTATAATACTATTCCATAAATTCTACTTTTAGTCTCAACATGCTTTGAGGGCTCTGTTTAGCCAATATTATGATAGATGCTGAAATTCAGGAGTTCTGAGTACAGTAATTTGCCACCCATACCCTACAACCCCTGAATCAGTAAAGAAGAGACCTACAAAACAGAATATACAATGCCAGCTTCTTATGCTTAACCTGAAAACCAAAAAGCAGACAAGGAAATAGAGAGGATTTACAAGGTACAAGGAAAAAATGTGAAGACATACTGCTCCAACCCAACTACATTACATAATATTCTATTTACTGTTAGTTAAGAAATTTTTTTATACTTTCACATTTCTTGTGAATACTCTCCTTTTTTATGCCATCTCAAGTGCCTGTGTGTGCATTTAATGAGCTTTTTGAAAAATCCCAATCTGCTTATCTCTCTGAACTAAAAGAACAAGGCAATATATTCAAATTTAGGCCGAGAAAAGTAGAGAAAAGAGTGCTTCAAAGAGAAGAGGCAAAAGCTGGGGCACAAAGAAAAATGCCAACCAAGGAGTCTTCCGCCCACTAGAAACCGAGAAGCTTGCTCCCCAACCATCCTCCACCATAAGCACTGTTAACACTCTCCACTCCATCCCTGGCCTTCAAACTGGGAGGCTGTAAAATACGTGGGAATGACCCTTCAACACACTGGCCTGGTATGTTTTCAACTTCCTCAAAACAATCCTCAAACTCGGGAGCACAGCGGATGTCATGACTGAATTACTCAACACCTAACATCTTTAATCCTGAAATTATCCCCCATTCACAACGAATGACTTTCCTTCCACATCTCTTGGCCTCAGTTCCACTCAATGTGTGTGTCCTCGTGATGGCACCAACCGGTCCCTTGACTTTCCTTTCTTAGTCCATCACCTCTGCTCTGGCTTCACTGCCTACCCATTCAGCCTGGATCCTGGATTAGTCACTGAAGAAATGGATTCATTACATATCGGCTTACTTGTATATCTTCTCTATTGGCGTCTGGTCGTAAGTTAGTCTCTCAAAGGAAGGACCAAGGGAAAAGAACAGGAGAGAAACTGACTCTTTTCTTATATTGTTAATGATCCCCAGCTGCCTGAACTAGGGACATCCCCCTGAGTCTTGCATCGCAAGTTCTCCACTATATAGTTACATTTTATCTTTCCAATGAGTTCCCAGCCATATTCCAATGAGCACTAATGCTTCTGAGAAGTTAGAGAAGTGATATGAGGGTTTCTAGGAAGGCTAAAGTGAGGGCTGAGTAGTCAGGACCCCAAGCTTCACCCAGAATGGCTGCACTTTTATTTAACAATGGGAAGTTGTTAAATCAATCATGTTGCATGCAGAAAACACTATTGTTCAGCCATTAAAAACTACATTTCGGTTATATACAGAAAATGTTCATGATGCTAAACACTATGTACAGCACTATTCAAAGTCCTCAATAGGTAACAGACCCAGGAATAAGAATTGTCTAGAGGGAAACACCCCGGTGTAAACCGTGGTTACGTGAGAATGATAGATTTATGGGTGCCTCTTAAATTTTCTTCTACTAATAATCATTTTTAAACATGTTTATGTAATCTTTTTTTAAAATTAAATTTTTAAAAAATATTTTCTTTGAAAAAATTATCTCCTTTCTTATAAAAAATGGCTCCCCTTTCTGAAGCCCAGAAAGCGACTGATCAAACCTTACTCACCTTTGGGACTTCCCTGGCGGTCCAGTGGTTAAGACTCCACACTTCCAATGCATGGGGTGCGGGTTCAATCCCTAGTTGGGGAACTAAGATCCCACATGTCACGTGGTATGGCGAAAAAAAAAACCCAAACACTTTACTCACCATTGCTGGAGTCTTCCCAGGCTAACATCTGGTGGTTGCCAGGAAGGAGAGAAACAAGCTAGGCTGCTCACCCCAGAGGTTTCAAATACAAAGAAACCAAAAGCAACGGGGGTGGGAGCAAGCAAACAATTCCCTTCAGGCAAGATGCCTGTGTCTCCGTGATCTTTTCTTCAATAATTCTCATTACACCTGCCTTAAAGTCTTTGATGGTTAATCTTAGCAAATTGTCAGCCACTTGTAAAAGGCAAAAATAAAGAAAATCTAAGCAAAGAGAACATGAATATCATCCACACTGAAAGTTGGCAAGCTTTTCCCAAACATCAGAAGTTTCCTTGTGGACAAGACCTTTCCACTAAAATCTTTAAAACTCACCAGGTGCTTTGCCTTAGCACGTTCCTCCTCACTTGATATCCTCTCACGAAGAATAGCTCTGGTCAACTGCTCACTGGCAAAAGCCTTCTCTGAGTCCAGTTCTTTGCTTTGCTTCAGTCTGAAAAGACAACAAAGGTCTAACTTAGAGGGAAAAAAAGAAAGATTTTGGTAGTTGATATCATTTTTTTAATGAAATACATTTAAGCCACAGATTTAGTAGACGAAATCATCTTGGCCTAAAATTTATCCAAAGCAGGTATATTTTCTAGTAAATCCTCAAGCAGCCTCTACCCAAGCATTTAAAATAACAGAATTCAAATACATCAAGAGGCTAATCAATCTGACTGCTGAATTCGTTTTACAAAGATCTTCTTATGTCAGCTTGAAATCTGCCCACCTAAATATTCGATCCCTGGTGCCTCCATCTGCCCTCTGGAGATAGCAGTAATACATCTAATTAAAAAGCCATCCACAAGACAAATATTTGAAGGTAAGCATCATCTTCCCATCAAAACTGACTCAACTGTTTACTGAACACACGCCAGGCAATGGGCAAGGCACTGATGTCACAGTACTGCCAAGGACCAGTCACGGCCCTCATGGACCTGACATTACGGCAGGAACTAAAAACACAGTTAAGAGATTCTTCCTCCCAGCGAATGTTCCAACAATCTTTATCTGCAAAAATGGCCAGACCCTTCAATAGCAGGGCTCCTCACTTGTGGGATGACTCCAATTTGTCCCTTAGCTCCAAACCAAATGCAACACTGCAGACATGGTCCAGCAAAGTAAGACAACAGAACCTCACCTCCCAAGATTCCCACACAACACTAATGCTACTAATGAAGCATCTGATTACGTTAGGTCTATCAGTAACCTCATCACACGATTAGTTCACACTAAGTTACAATCCACCAAAACCCCTCCACACTGTGCATGACAAGGATAAATTACTTTGGCACCCATCTTCACCATAGTGTCCGGCACATAAAGGTATTCAGCAGTCACTGAATGAGAGTACATTTTAGTCTAATCTCATGGACGAAGATTTTCTGATTGCCTTTTCTTCTTTGAGAGAATAACCCCTCTATACCATCATATCCCAAAGGTATAAGCAATGCTTTAAAAAGAAAAAGTAAGGACTTCTCTCCAGAGAACCTCAGGTAGGCCGGGCCGCCAGGGAACAAACAAGGCCCCTGAGAGCTCCACCTAGTTCGCAGGACAATATCCCACAGCAGGATTTGGAGTCAACAATGGCTAAACCCCAGGTGGTTGTAGCTCCTGTATTAATGTCTAAGCTGTCTGTAAACGCCCCTGAATTTTACCCATCAAGTTATTCTTCTAATTATACAGAATCCTATGAGGATGGTTGTGAGGATTATCCCACTTTGTCAGAATATGTTCAGGATTTTTTAAATCATCTTTCAGAGCAGCCTGGCAGTTTTGAAACTGAAATTGAACAGTTTGCGGAGACCCTGAATGGCTGGGTTACAACAGATGATGCTTTGCAAGAACTTGTGGATCTCATCTATCAACAGGCCACATCTATCCCAAATTTCTCTTCCATGGGAGCTCGCCTCTGTAATTACCTGTCCCATCATCTGACAATTAGCCCAGAGAGTGGCAACTTCCGCCAGCTGCTACTTCAAAGATGTCGGACTGAATATGAAATTAAAGATCAAGCTGCAAAAGGGGATAAAGTGACTCGAAAACGATTCCACGCATTTGTACTCTTTCTGGGAGAACTTTATCTTAACCTGGAGATCAAAGGAACAAATGGACAGGTTACAAGGGCAGACATTCTTCAGGTCAGTCTTCGGGAGTTGCTGAATGCCCTCTTTTCTAATCCTATGGATGACAACTTAATTTGTGCAGTAAAATTACTGAAGTTGACAGGGTGAGTTTTAGAAGATGCCTGGAAGGAAAAAGGAAAGACTGATATGGAAGAAATTATTCAGAAAAGTGAAAATGTTGTCCTAGATGCAAATTGCAGCAGAGATGTAAAACAGATGCTCCTGAAGCTTGTAGAACTCCGGTCAAGAAACTGGGGTAGAGTCCATGCAACTTCAACATACAGGGAAGCAACACCTGAAAATGATCCCAATTATTTTATGAATGAGCCAACATTTTATACATCTGATGGCGTTCCTTTCACTGCAGCTGATCCAGATTACCAAGAGAAATATCCAGAGTTACTTGAAAGAGAAGACTTTTTTCCAGATTATGAAGAAAATGGAACAGATTTATCTGGGGGTGGTCATACTTGGATGATACTGATAATAAGATAGACCCGGAGATAGAAGAAGCTTATGAAAAGTCCTGTTTGGTATCAGAGCATAAGCGAAAACAGTAAAATTAAATTTCAGCGTATCAATTTTATAAAGCAGTTTAAGTTACGCTGATTTTTTTTTATTTTTTTATAAATTTATTTATTATTTATTTTTCGCTGTGTGGGGTCTTCGTTGCTGCACGCAGGCTTTCTCTAGTTGCGGTGAGCGGGGGCTACTCTTCGTTGTGGCAGGCGCGAGGGTTTCAGTAGTTGTGGCACACGGGCTCAGTAGTTGTGGCTCGTGGGCTCTAGAGCACAGGCACATGGGCTGAGTTGCTCCGCGGCACGTGGGATCTTCCCGGACCAGGGATCGAACCCGCATCCCCTGCATTGGCAAGCAGATTCTTAACCACTGCGCCACCAGGGAAGTCCCAGTTCTGCTTTATTTTTATGATCAAGGACCCCTAAAATGTAAATTGACTATAATGACTCTAGCAGCCCTATCCTTGCACATGCTCCTTTCTTTCCCACTTGCCTCTAAGCTCCACAAGGGCGAAGACCTGGTCTGGGTTTTTTTCACTGCTATATCCCCAAGTGCTTAAAACAGCGCCTGCCCCACACAGTAAGTACTCAAAAAATACCTGAGTAAACGTATGAATGAATGAGTGGCATATTTCCAACCACAGACAAAAATGGAAAACAAGTTACAGAAAACAGAAGACTGCGGAATTTACAAAACTAGACACAAACTGAGCCCTACAAAGGCCGAGCCACCATGATGTTAAGTGTCACAAGTGTGATGATCCTAGACCACACTAACCTAAAACAGAAGGGCGTTTTACATTCCACAACATTTCAGAGCCTCTGAAATACCTTTTACACACTTACACACACACACACACACACACACACACACGAGTTATCAATAAACATTAGTGCAAGGCTTTGGAAGGGTCCCTGAAAAATCACCTTTGCAATTTTAGAAAAAAAATTTAGAAAATTTTAGAAGAAAGTTTCGCTTTCTTTCAATACCTAATACATCTAACTATGCTTGACTCTTGGCTGAAGAGAGATTGCAAGGGGCACAAAGTGACCAAAAAGAAATTTTCCTTTCTTAATTCTTACAGTTACTTTCATTTATCCTTACAAATAGACCTGTACGAATTCTCAGATAGTTAGTTCTAAAGGAATAGCTGAAAATAAAACGAAAAGAAGAAAGGTCTGTGTGTGACTGTTTATGAAACAGAATTTTGTATCTTTCAGTCTGACAGCAGGGCCCGGAACAAGTTATCATTACCTATCAGCAACTCAGTGGTACAATCTAATAAACCTGTTTTCTCAGCCCTAAAACTTGAAGGTTGAGCTTTACAGTCTAAGGTCCCTTGCAGTTAAAAGTTCTACAAACATCATATATTAAATATATTACTCTCCATTTCAAAATTTCTTGAGAAATGTAGATTCAGGGGGTAAATGAAACGAAGGAGTATTATCTCCAAATTTTCTAATTTTCACTCAATGAGCACTTATATTTCTAGTCTCACTCTTAGAGCTTCCAACTACTTGATTAAAAACTGTACACTAGATAGAAGTAAGTGGGATTCACAAATTCATTCAGTATATAATTATTGGTGACAGGCACTATTCTGATTACTGAGAATAAGGTGGTGAGCAAAAGAGACACCTACCCTCATGAAGCTTCAACTCTGACAAATTCATTATTTTTAAAAAGTGAGGTTGCCATAAAACTATATGGGTAGGAGCTGATATCGAAACTGAAATCTAAGAAACATAAAATGAGCAACATCAGGAAGGAAAAACTGTCTTAGAGGAAACCTCAGTCAGTTCCAGAGGCACTGAGCAATTATTTTCTGTAGTTAAAGTTCTATACTGCCTTCTCAGATACCAAAGGCTGGGTCACCTAGACACTGAGAGCTCTCTTCAAACACACACACACACACACACACACACACACACACACACCAACAAACATTAATGCGAGGCTTTGGAAGGGTCCCTGAAGCTTAAAATCACCTTTGCAATTTTAGAAAAAAAAAAATTTAGACAATTTTAGAAGAAAGTTCCGCTTTCTTTCAAATTATTTTGGAGGGCAGAGTTTCAGAAAAAATGGTATAACTAATAGAGCTTTGTCCAGTGCCTTCAGAAATAAAAGCAATAGACTAGAAATGTCTAAATTGCACTATTCCTCATTTCCCCACCTCTCCCCCCTCCACATAAAGCATTTATAGCAATATTTTCTTTGAATAAGCTTCCTCGTTTATGGATTCATTGAGATCATTTAACAACTTACAACTACTTTGCAATGAAAATGTGCTTGTATTCTCAGAAGCTCCCAATTCTTTTCAGAGCTTTCTCTCAGTGCCCTTGCTTCTATATTCCATCAGGCTTTTCTATTCAATGGCCATCTATAAAAGATAGTGGCTGTGTGATCAACCAATTTTTCTCTTATTTTGAGCCCAATGTGATGACTCTCTTTTCTGGGCCTCTCTGAGTGCTACCGGCCTCCTTGAGTATAGATCCAAAGCCAGGTTGTTTTGCAAACACTCCCTAAGGGAAAGAGGGGTGAAGCCCTCTTTGACAATGGAACCGCTACTTTTAAGGTCCGTGTGACATGTAAAGAAAAAAAAGGTATGAGATAAAGTAAGTCTTTCATTATTGGGTTTCCAAAGATTTAAGAATTATCTCAAAATAAAACTAAACATACCAAGTATCTTGGAGAATACATTCTCTTTTTTATTTACTGGCATTTCCCACTTATTATTTCAGATCTGCTGGTCTAATATTATTCCACATTAAGCCCCTGATTTAAGTTTCATTTAAATTTCCTTCTT